GCGCCAGGGGTCCCAAGGGAGCTCGCCGGGCGGCGGGTGGCTTCCCACTCGAGTGGAGCGCGTCTGGACCTGGATAAGCTTCTTTGAATCTTCTCCCCAATTCCCGTTTACTTCACCCCGAGGTATCGTCGCAACAGAAACACCTTTTCTTGCTGTGTTGATTTGCTTCTGCCGAATTCACTACGTGTCGGTCCACTTGGGACTTGAGTTCTTTTTACTATCATATCTCATTCTTATCTATCATTTCCGCCATTTTCCAAGACCCCGCAACGTCCAACTCGACCACTATTCCATTCCTTCTTTGCCACTGGCGTGTTCTCAAAAGTGTCAAAGGCCACGGTTGCGCTTCCACTGTTCCCCGAACATCACCTTTTTCCACCCTTTCTTCTACCAACCATACTCGCGCACACAAAAACAAGCTCTCGATTGCTTGGGTGCCTAGCGCCATACCGTCTATCATTGGTCTAAGCTGTTGTTTAAGACAGCATCGCCTTGACTGCCACGGACTCTGCTCCACCCCGCCCTCGACCCTGTCTAGGTGGTCTTCGCTGGACAGACAAAGAACCTTTTCCTTTGCTCACGACTCCCGACTTGTCGCATAAAGTCTTTTTTTCCTTTCTCCCAAACCACCTCTCACGTTTCGACACAGCCGCTCTCAACCGAAACCTCGAATTCTACTGCGTACTAGCATTGCGCCGCAAGCTCCAACCGAGACACTCCTCAACTACCAGCCAAGCACAAATGAGCGTCCGAACACGCCGAAACAAGTCCGTCAAGCGAAAAGCTTTGGCTGATTTAGCTGTAGACACAGACGGCACGAACGGTCAAGCCAACGGCGGGATGAACCAGAACAACGTTGAGTTCCGGCGGAAGGCGACGACTCCCGGCTCCGACACCGTGACCGCGAACCTGATGTCGCGCGAATCCTTCACCCTCGACGACCCCGTCCCGAAGACACCCATCGCCAATAATCATGGCTTCTTCGAGTTGCCGTTGCAGGATCAGAGGAATTTCCTCCTGCTGGTGCTCCTGTACTTCCTACAGGGTGTGCCCATGGGTCTCGCGGGTGGTTCGGTTCCCTTCCTAATGAAGGACCACATGTCGTACAGCGAGATCGGAATCTTTAGTCTAGCTTCATACCCATACTCGCTGAAGCTTCTCTGGAGTCCCATCGTTGACGCGGTTTGGAGTCCCAAGGTTGGACGCAGAAAGAGCTGGATTCTTCCCATTCAGCTGCTTTCAGGACTGGGTATGCTCTGGCTCGGGTCTACTGTCGAGAACATGATGGCCAACACCGGCAAGCCTGGAGGTCCTACCGTGTGGAACTTCACCGGCTGGTGGTTCTTCCTCGTCTTTATGTGCGCCACGCAAGATATCGCCGTAGACGGCTGGGCTTTGACTCTCCTGACGCCCGGCAATGTGTCGTATGCATCCACTGCACAGACCGTCGGTCTCACTGCCGGTCACTTCCTATCCTACACGGTGTTCTTGGCCTTCAACTCCAAGGACTTTGCAAACCGCTACTTCCGCAGCTCTCCCCTGGATCACGGTCTCATGTCGCTTGGCGGATATCTGACTTTCTGGGGCTGGGCGTACATTGCCATCACCATTGGGCTCTCTCTCTTCAAGCGTGAGGAGAGAACCAAGAATGAGGATGGCATTTGGGATGTGTACAAGATCATGTGGGGTGTTCTCAAGTTGAAGAATATCCAGACCATTATCATTGTTCATCTCATTGCTAAGATTGGCTTTCAGGCCAATGACGCAGTCACCAACCTGAAGCTCATTGACAAGGGATTCGGTCAGGAGAACATGGCCCTGACGGTCCTCATCGATTTCCCTTTTGAAATCGCGCTTGGCTACTACGCTGGCAAGTGGTCTCAGGAATACACTCCTATGCGCCTATGGTGCTGGGGCTTCATGGGCCGCCTCGTTGCTGCTCTGATCGCCCAGTTCACCGTCACCATTTTCCCGGCCGGCGGCGTTACTCCTTGGTACATGCTGGTCGTCATTGGCGAACACGTCTTCTCGACCTTTACAAACACGGTCATGTTTGTCGCCGTCTCTGCTTTCCACGCTAGAATCGCAGACCCTGTCATTGGCGGTACCTACATGACTCTCTTGGCTACGTAAGTTTATCCTCGGATTATCACTCGACCAAGTTCCTTTGCTAATATGGCCTCCGCAGCGTCTGTAATCTTGGCGGCACGTTCCCGCGCTTCTTCGTCTTGCGTCTGGTCGACTACTTCACCGTCGCGACCTGCAAACCTGGCAACCCCGCGGATCTGAACGCCCTGAAGGGCCCTGTCATCACCGACCCCTTCTCTTGCTCCCTGCAGCCAGACAAGGAGAAGTGTGTCAACGGTGGCGGCACGTGTGAGATGGTGCGTGACGGATACTACTTTGTCAACATCATCTGCGTCGTCTTTGGCGTGGTGACGTTCATGCTCTACATCCGACCTAGAGTTCTGCATCTGCAGTCACTCCCCATGAGAGCCTGGCGTTTGGCGCCGTCGACGTCTAAATAATGGAATTGCACTGCGCGGAAAAATCCGGGGGATGTTGTACATGTATCATATAAAGCATCACGCAGCGCGCACGGTTTGGAGTACCTTTCATATAGAGAGAGCGAGAAAGATGGAGAGGGAAGCACTTGTACTTGATATGCTTTTTTCATTACCATTTGATGCGCGCTATGCCGTTATATACGTGACGCTTGCCCCAAAGAAGTTTTGCCAGAAAACATGAAAATTCTTTCTCGCTCGCTGACACAACACATCTCTCTTCACCCCCGGTCTCTCTACTTCTACAGCGATTCAATGTGCTGCGAATGCAAATCCTGTACAGCAGGGATAATCAAGCTCTCGATCTCGATCTCGGGGTCACTCTCCGGCAGCGCGCTGGGATCAAGCGGCTTGTCCTCCCACGTTCCCCCACTTCCCCCCGCCGACGACGACGACGCGCGCTGAACGCTCGGCACGCGGACCCACCGGTCCGGCCTACCTGGCGCGACGAAGACGACCTCCCACTTGCGCGTGGACAGCAGGTTGCCGATGACGAGGTGGTGCTGGTACCGCTCGAGGGAGTACTTGGCCTTGTGCACGAGGATGGCCGGGTCCGTCTCGAGCTTGAAGCTGACGACCATCCCTTGCGGGGCCCAGCCGTCGACGAGGTTCTGGAGGAACTTGGGGACGGGGTCGAGGTCGATGACGAGGGACTTGGATTTTGCTACCTTGGTGGAGTCGAAGTTGTCAAAGGCCTCTTCGTCTTCCGTGTTGGAGGCGTTGCCGTTGCCGTTGCCGTTGCTCGAGTTGGCGGGTTTGGCTGTGGTTTTCGTTGTAGCTGATCCTGCCCCTGCTCCAGAGAAAGAATCCGTGGCATTGGTGGACTGGATCTTGTGCTCGGCCATTCTGTCCTGCGGCAGGAAGAAGTCAGACACCGCGGCGGCGAGGTAAAGAAGCGCCGACGGGCCCAAGGGCCTCAGCAACCCCGCGATAGCGCGCAGCTCGAACAAGTAATCCGTAATCGTCGTAAACGGCAGCATGAGCAGCATATTGCCCTTCTTCGCAGCGGTATACTTGCGCAACACCTCTCGCATGCGCTCCTGGTGCGCCGCGTTCGCGACGACGGTGCCGTCCTCGCCCTCGGCCAGGAAATCCAAAAAGCAATCCGTGGCGTGGGAGTAGTGGCGCGAGTACGGCTGCAACGAAAACTGACGGTGCAAGAAGATGACGGCGTAGCCGGCCTCGAGGAAGTACTCGGCCGAGGTGGCCCCGCGGGTCCCCGCGGAGAAGTTGTCGATGAAGCGGACCGTCTGCTTCTCGAGGGGCACGGTGGTGCCGCCCGAGGTGACGAGGACGACGCGCCGGCTCGAGGCGGCGTGGTGGTCGATGAAGGAGCGGGCGGCGGCGACGTGGGCGTCTAGGTTTTTGGGGGGCGGTTGGGAGGAGAAGTAGGCGTCTTCTTGGCGTTCTGCCGTTTCTGTGGGGAGAGACATTTTTTGGGGGGAGGTTTGTGTTTTATGAAGCGGTGATATTCACGGATCGTCTCAGAGAAGTGGTAGCTGTTTACTGTGTCAAGTGATGATGTGTGGTGGTGAGATTTGTGAGACCTCGGTGGCAGGGAAAATGGACTGGTGACGAAGGGCCGTCCGAAGGTGTGTGTGAGACCTGAACGGTGTCAGTGACTTGATATACATAGTTGATATCTCCGGTAGCGGTATTCGACCCCATTCATGTCCAGAAGTATGGTGTATAAGGAGTATGAGGGATGAGAATCCATCTCCATTACTCGGCCCAATACCTCCGCCGGACCTCGGTCCTCCGGCACCCATTTTCTCATATGACGTGTCTTACACGTAAACTCACCTTGGGATATATAGTGTCTTTCTAAGTTTAAATAGCGTCAATCTCGAAGACGATGTATGAGGCTGTGTCGAATGCTCTATCTCCGGAAACTTCGTACCTCAACAATCACTGAAGACAAGAAATTAACCACAATGAAGAGAGATTGGGAAACGCAGCGAGGGTTTTAAACCGTCGTTTCCAGCGCCGGTTCGGTTCCTCCGCACGGGCCGAAGGAGGCCCGTGCCCCACCGACCCGCACCTCCGGGATGGAATCTGCTGCGGATTTCTGGGAACGTATTTGCTTCGGGGCTTCGCAACGACGTCCCGTCGGCGTTCACGTCGTTACAACCGCGGCTCAAATCTCATTCTCAGCACACAAGTGACTCAGAAGTCGATGTTGATTCGGCACCGATAGCCGATCATAAGAATGTTTCCAAACCGAACTTCCTGTTTGGGAACGACAGACACAGTTAAACATGAGGTAAGCTTACATCATTACAATTAACTCCGGGTCTAGTCTTCATTATATGTACAATTCTCATCATAGATGCCTCTCTGATATCCAATCCCTTTTTATGTACCAAGACCTCGAATTTTCCCTCGTAACAAAAGTGCGCCTGCCCGAATCTCTTTCTTCTTCCTCCTCTTTTTTGTCTAGAAATTGCCCCAGATAACCTTTCCAACGCACACAAACTTGGCAGCCATGAGCGCCGCCAAGGCCAAAACATACACCAGCCCAGTGAAGATAATGAGACCCCAATACTGGCCACCCGTCGCCGTGACAATCTCGCCGCCAATGGGAATACCAATCAGGCACGCGACCGAGACGGCGGTATACGTCGTCGAGTAGTACCGCCCGTAATGCTGCGTCTTGCACAGCCGCCCGACGCACACGGGGCTGATGCTGATGTTGTTCCCGCTTGCAAAACCAAACAGCACGGCAAAGACGATGACGCCCGCGGCCGTCGAGCCCGCGGGCAGCCAGACGGCCAGGCACGCGACCGCGGACAGCACGATGGCGGCCATGTTGCTGTTAAACGGTCCGGCCCTATCGGCCCACCAACCAGGCAGCGCCCTACCTAGAACGCTGCCGGCGTTAAGGATGGGCAGGATGGAAAAGGCAAAGGACTCGCTGAACCCCTGGCTGAGCGTGTAGCTCGAGATGTACGTCAGCGGGATAAACAGCGCAAACTCCATCAGGAAAATACCCGCTGTCGTGAGACTGAAGGCCGCGCTGCGGAAGATGCGCGGGTCCGGGTGCGGGCTCGCGTTGCGGGCGGGCGGGAGGCGCGAGCGGATCAGGAAGTTGGAGGCGCCGCAGAGGGCGAGGCAGATGAAGCCGACGGCGCGGATGGTCCAGCCCCAGCCGATGCGGGGGAAGAGGGACTTCATCATGAGGGGGAAGATGATGCCGCCGATGGAGCCGCCGGTGGAGGCCATGCCTGTCGCGAAGCCGCGGCGGCGCTTGAACCAGTGGCCTACGGCTGCGATGGACGGGGTGAAGACGAGGGAGCTGCCGAGGCCGCAGAGGATGCCGAAGGCGAGCATGAAGTGCCAGTATACTGGGAGAGTGTGTTAGCGCGCTCTTATGTATGTGTATTGCTCGGAGAGGATGTGTTGAGGGATGCAAGTATGGGAGGGAGTGATGAAACGACGCGCCACAACAAGGCGAGCCGATGCAAAACTCTGTGTAAACGACTTACCTGTGCATATACTCAACAACATGACGCCAATGACAAGACACACCGTCCCAGCGAGAACGAGCCACCGCGGGCCATACTGATCAAACACGGGCCCGATGTAGATACCCCCAAAGAAGCAGAGGAACGTATACACGGAGAAAATCCACCCAATCGTTCCCTCGCTGTATCCCTTGAGCTGATGCGTCGCAACGTACGTCTGGAAGATGGCGATGCTGTTCATGATGCCCAGGGCCGAGAAGAGCGCCAGCCAGGACCCCAGCACGACGGACCACGCCCGGAGCCCGCCCTCGGGGTAAGTTTCTTCCTCTCCTGCTGTCGTCGAGGCGACCCCTGCGGTGTCGGTGCGGTGGATGTAGTTGCCGTCATCGTCATCGGTGGAGTCTCCGGCACCCTCTTCTCCTCCTACTCCGGCTTCCTTGCCGTAGGCGGCATTGTTGTTGTTCTTGGTGCTGTTGTTGATGAAATCGCTGTTGTGTTGGTGATGGTAGTTGGCGCCGCCCGCGCCGGCCACGGCGTTGGAGACGGAGGGAATCAGGTCGTTGCCTATGACCGCCGCTGCACCATCGTGGGCTGCGCTCTCTGGCTTGGTGGGCAGCGGGTAGTCATAGCTGCTGTAGTCCGGTTCGGGTGTGATGTGGTCGCCTTGGCGGGCTGTGGAAGCCTTTTCCGGGTCCATGTGGGATGGATGGGTGAATGGATGGATGAAGAGAGGAGGATGAGGGAGAGGACAAGAGAAGAGAGGAGAGCGAGCCTCGGTATTATGTCTCGTGCTGTGTCTGTCTTTGGATCTTCCCCCCTTCGATCTTCAGGTGTTCTTCTTGTTCCCTCTTCCTGATTTTTGACTTCCGCCTTGCAGTTCTGCAACCCTGTCGGCCACGTTTTCTCCCTTCTGCTTCCTTTTCCTTTGTCTTGGCCTCAAGTCGCTGTCTTGTACAAGAGTTCCTTTTCTTCTTCTTCTTCTTCCGTACAACAACCTCTGCCTCAGCCTTCGAAACTTCTCTCAGTCCTATCAAACCAGACTCGTTGTGGTAAGAGTAATGAACGGTAACAAGAGTATCGGCCTAACAAATACCCGTCTCTGATAAAACAGGGATCGAGCTCAAGGAGGAGTAGAGAGTGTCGACTAATACCAACACTATCCTACTGCGGGCCGTTGCGAGGGAGGGAGAGAGCGGATCAACGAACCTACTTGTACTTTTTCTTACTAGTTTCCTTCGCCTCTTCGGTCTTTCGGCTAGAGTTGGGCCTGGTCTGGGGGTGGTGGTGGTGGGTGAGTGGGTATTAGGGGTTCGCGCTCCTTCGTTGAGTTTGTCGTTGGGTTAGGTGATTTGATGCAATTATCCAGTCATTTCCTTGCCAATCATACACCCCAGGTTCACACACGCGGCTCCTCGCTTCAAAAGGACCATGGAAGTCTTTTAGGACGAGGCTAAAAAAAAAAAGGGGGTATAAGTCATGCAGTCATGTATGCAAAGGGCGAACAGAGAGACAAGAGGAAAGAAGAAGAAAAAAACTTTTTCCTTTACCCCAGGTTTGCCCCCCCCCCCCCCCCAGGGGTCCTCGAACGACGGGGAATGGACAACCTAACCGACAGCCGTTTCGTTGTGTGAATAAGGTAGGTTCCCGGCTTCTTCTTACTAGGCCGGGACAGGGCTGGTTAACGTGGACCTAACTAGGTAGCTATTGCGGTTTCGTATGTAAGATGTTACTGTATAGCATACTACATGGGAGAAGGATACGCGGACTCGCGTTTATCTTGATGGCATTTGTTTGATGTGGGTAATTCAACCGAACCAAACCCCGGCCTTATTTTCCTCGTGTTTTTCTTCACCATTCGTCTTCTCAGATCGACATATGCCTTTCGGGCATCCCTCATGCCATGCACCGCTCTCCTTCTTTTTTCTTCACACGGTTAGGCTATTAGCATAATATTGGTGGGAATAAAGAGAACAACCCCCGAAGAAATTGGTCATGTTGCCTGTTGACATGTGGCCCTTCTCTGACAAGTTCATGTTAGTCAAGGGCGTCGTTCGGGGATGGCTCAAGACGAAGTCGCGAGCCAAAAACTGACCAATAGCGTATTTCAATTAGTCGATGAAAATCAAACTTCAAGAGCCTGGACTTTTGGTTGCCGAGAATCGGCGTCTCCCCAAGAAAAAAGCGAGAAACCCCACCAACGAAACCAAACAATAGTAAGAATTATGACCCTTTGGCCCAGCAGACCAGACCCGACGCATGACACTTGTCCAACACCGAACTTGTCTTGAGTTTCTGAGACACGTAGATCCGTAGACGCATACTCGGAGCACTCTCTCCTAGTCTGTAGAGCCGCATAATGCAAGAATGCCTTACAAGACAACCACCTTTTCCAATGGGGAAACTTACCTCATACAGCGTATACGGTTTACGGCACTATCGCGATTTCTCTTAGCATCTGTCTCCAAGACGTTCCCCCGCTAAAGTTGCCTGCCTAGCCCCCCGCCCTGGGCTCCCGCTTCTCCACACGAAAAAACGCTGCCATTGAACCACGGATTATCGAACAACGCAATCATGACATTATATCCAAGACGCCATCCCAATGATATTCCTCTCTAAAATGCCTTTGTCTGATCGAGATCTGGGAGACAAGAAAAATGACAGGGTTGCTAATCTTTACTCGAATCAGATAGCATATGACACCTTCAACTATTGTCCATAAGCGAACAAAGTGGTGATTTCACTATTGACTTGTATCCATGACCCGCTCACTAGAAGCGAGATCATGCCCTCGACGAGATGCACATATGAGAAACGGAGGAAGAGTCATCAACGGCATCCGGCCGGTAGCGGGAAAAAAAAGTCTGTTCGCCCGCCGGCTCAAAACCCCCCTTCGCTCGCCTATGCTATTCCTGCGTACCTTGGGAGGCAAGGTATGCCCTCTCCGGTTCCCGCCAGCCGCCGACGCTTCACGTTGACCCTCGCGTCCTTGCCATGCCCGCCCACCCACGCCGGCTCCGGCCGCTTCATAACCTCGGAAACAACCTCCCCTTCCCATCCGTCGCTCCAAGTACCTTTCCTATGGTTTTCCGTCGAACTTTTCCTACAATCTCCAGCCATAGCTCAAGCCTCAAAGCCTCCAAGCCTCACTCGCTTACCTTATACTGGGCACATCCGCCTTACTGCGTATACATCCGCTCAAGTCGACCTGAATCCGTGCACCACCTTAGGTAGCTAATAAGTGTTACCTGACTATGATCCGCTTGCGGCTCACTCGAAAATGTTGAGGTACCTCGCCCGCCCGCTCTCCCACATGCGACCAGGTCATCCAAGGTACCTAGTATCTCCCACGTGCTCTGGCCTTGGAACTGCCCTTGGCACGTGCCAGCCAGCCTCATCCATGATCCAACTCACAGAGTCACACCGAAAATTAATCTTACGCCTGGCCTTGGAAGGAACTCAGCACTCGGCCACGGAGAATCCCGCGTCAAACAACAAAGCCCGCCGCGCCGCCGCATGTTCAGTCCCTCCCTCCCTCTCTCTTTCTCTTCCCAACTTACCTAAGCCATCCCCCCCCCCCCCAAAGCCCCTCTTACTCCCCTTTTAGTATTAGATCCCACCTGTCACCGAGCCGGCCCCAGTCCTCTTTCGAGACGGAAAGGATTGGGAAAAGAGTGGGGTATCACAACGTATTGTCCAACCCCAGTTCCGTCCTCCAAAAATCCTCTAAAGAGCTGCGTCCATAGAGGTACGGAGTAGGTAGAGAGAGAGAGAGCACCGGAATAAGCGCCGTGTTCTGCAAAAAAAAAAAAAAAAAAAAAAAAAACCTCAGAAATCGCATCGCACATACAACGCGCACGGAAGAACACCCGATCATCATTCGACCCAGAAAATGCAGGAAGAGCGAACAGGTAATTACCCATCACGACGGAGCGAGCGCCGCCCAAGACAGTAACCAAACAATCTGGCAAAAGTCATGAGATGACTGATTCGGTTCAGGGTTGGGTGCCGTCAGCCAGTGTTTGGGGTGCCATCGCAGAACCCGTCTACCAATATTTCAGCGCTTTTTCCCGGTCCTCATGGGTAGGTAAAGGTATTATGATAGCAGCAAACCCCCCCCCCCCCTCGCACCAGGCTCCAAATTCCTGCACCATCCCAAAAGTTTCAAGGAACATGGAACTTGAGGTCCTTGAACGAAAAAAAAAAAAAGGTCACTCTTCGGAACCGCGAGTCGGAACCGATGAACCACATCGGCCGAAGCCCTTCCCCAACCGCTCTCGTGACCATCACTGGCACCGCCGCTACCTTACTGGCAGCCGCAAACCATGAATGGATTAAAAGTGCCATCGTGATCCCCCCCGCTCCTAGCCTGAGCCTCAAGGCCTCAACGCGGCGCGCCGCCTGAAGAGGGTGAGGGGGAATAATAAGCTCAGATGGGAAAGGCTACCCGCTATCTGTACGTCAGAGCCTTCCATTTTTTTTTTTTGTTCCCCTCCTCCCCCTTCTGGGCCTTCTCCCAATGGAGCCAGCCTCCAAACAACCCTCATCGACGATCGAGATCATACTGGTATTGTCTCTTGATCTTGATCCTCGAGGTCCATCGCTCTTGTTTTCCTCTGCCGTATTGTTTGTCTCTCTTTTTTATCCCCTTCCTCAGCCACCATTCTCTTACCGCCCTTTATTGTTGTTTTTTTCTTCCCCCGCCTGCAGCTGGTTTAGTTGCCTGCCGCCGGTCCCAAGCTTTGTATTGGTACCCGTATTCAAAAGTACTATCCGTACGGATACGCCCGCCTTCATGGAATCATTCTTCCTCTTTCCGAACAAGCTACCACGTGCCACGCACGTACTTTCAGCTCTCCAAAATCTTGACGGTGCATCAGTAAATTATACGCTTGCTTGAATGCTACTCGATTTCTCCTGTCTTTTCTGTCCAATATCTTCTTCCCCTGTCGGCCAAACCGTGATTCACATCTGATCATCAAAAACACAGAGGCAAGGGCACATAATAAATGCAACACTCGGCCCGAGGCGTCGTACGTCTGCACGCCCGGTAAGACCAGAAAGGCTGGGAACATGAGATATCGTCCGTCCCCCTTGAGGCGACCGTTGGAAAAGGGAAAAACAAGTGCACCGCAAACCGGGGGGATAGAGCAAAATAGAAAAAAAATTAGCCCAAAAAGAGGTCCCCGTAGTCTGGTACGGATACCCAATTCTTCACTAGGTACCAGCGTATACCACAGTAAGGGACAAACCACCCCTGGACTACCTTAGTGCTTCGGCATGGACCACACCCTCCCATCAGTGCGCATCATGACGTTCTGATCAAGACATTCTTATTTGACGTACAGCCGGAAGGGGCTCAAGTGAGAGCCAGCCCATCTCACCCCCAGTAGACCCTTTTTTGTGGGTTGACACTGCCGGAGGGCTCTACTTGAAAGCTTAAGCTCGACTTCTTGATGTGTTTGATCAGAGGACGGGTCACGTGCTTGGGCCCATAGGTGTGTTTGCTCCAAGACACCGAATAATGCCGTTCTGTATTCCAGATGTAGGCTCACTGTTCCTCTCGTGTGATTGAAGAGACTCGGCATGTGCCGTATCATTCGAGTTCGTTGAAATATCACGATACCTCGCCATCATGTCTGAATCTTTTGCCTCAACTTGGATCCGTCATAAGACTTGTCTTGTTGACTTTTTCTCTTTTCGCGCGCCGCCCCTTTTCCCGGGCATAGTGAATTCCGAAAGGCACAAATGGTGTCCTCAGATGCAACTTCGTGCTCCCTTTCTGCCCGTGCAACCGCTGAATACGAACTCGGGCATTCGGTGTTTCCCGTGCCAACATTTCCAACCTCATGCCGTCCCGTTCCTTGTTCCGCTACGGAACCTTAAACGAGCCATGATGTGTCAAAGTCGATGTCGCGAATTCGTACAGCCCTGCTACCCCCAAAGGCCCGTGGTCTCCCGATATCAGGCAAAATACTGTCGTTGGAAGATCTCTTGTTGTATGGGCAGAACGTCGACCCATTGTGCCGCCGAGGGAATTGCGGCTATTCTGTAGATATTGCCGTCTCAAGCGTCGCTCATCAGTCTGAAAACGCCTTCCTTGTGCGAGCCCAACTGCATCGCCCAGTCATAAGCTTCGACCACCGTACGTCTCATGCAAAGACGTGCCGGCCTTCCAAAAACATGCATCTTGCATCATCTCGGTTTTGTCGTATCATCGTTTAGTAGTCGCTTGAGAGGAACCCCTGACTCATGGTGGTGTACGCCATCCACGCCATCCTGCACTTCTCCATTCACGGCACGGTCCATCTCCCCGTCGACCAGCCCCTCCATCTTGACCGACTCAACGGGGCCAGATTGACTACGCTCGGCAGTGATAAAGGCTTCGATCTGAAGTCTTATCGTATCAAGAAAGGCTAAGCGAGCCGTTGCGTCGAGTTTAGAAACAGCCGAATTTCTGATATCTTGGGGTCAGCTAGTGCCACGGAGAATGAAGAAGCCATGAGGCCGAGTGTGATATACAATAGCTCGAGTAGGGAGGATATATCCTCGGCGGGAGGGTCTTGGAGGTTCGTGGGTGTCCCCGATGCAGGGGGTTCGGCTTGTGCAGAAGCCAGCTGGATGAGCAGATCTGCGTTTTTGATAAACTTGACCAGGTCGTCCAGATCGGTTTCTATATTCAGAGTCCGCATCCGCCTGATAATTTCGACTGATTCCGGCTCGGAGCGCATAGATAGAAGGCGGAAAAGCTCTTCAAAGAGAGAAAGGCGGCGTTGAAGCTCCTCGTGCTTTGTTTTCAGGGCAGCGAAGCGTGTGACGTCGGGGCCGGCATCGTACTCGCAGCGGGTGCGACCCATGCCCGCGCACAAGGAACACACGGGACGTTGGCCATCGCATTTTGATTTCCTGCGACGACATGAGGTGCAGGCGATTTTGGTCTGCGGACGTCGTCTTGGTGCAGAAGACGTGGTACCAGTGGCAGATTGCGGGGTTGTCTCCCGTTCCGACGAAGCGCTGCTGGCTGCTGTTGGGCCCGCAGGTAAAAGCTCGCGCTGTGGTTTCATCGTGAGCGTTGCCACAGGACCATGGGCAGGCCTGGTGGACAACCGAGATGGCCACAAACAGTGGAAAAGGAGGCGTAAATATTATGGGCGTAGGCGTGTAGCTGGTACGGCGAGGTCTGCGTATTCGTCGTAGTAATTGAAATGGCGCGGGTGGACGAATTGAGAGAGGGTACAGCCAGAGCCAGAGCCAGAGCGGGCCTCAACCGCCAGACCAGATCCGCCCTCCGCGTCGCTTGGTAAGTCTCAGTCGTTTTGACGGTGCGTGTCATACTGCCGACCCGCTGGCCATGTTGGTCGTGATTAAATCGTTCTCGTTATCGTCGTGATGTTATTTTGCTGTTGCAGGTGTTTGGAAGTGCTGACAAGGCCCGTCCCGATGAGTAGTTTCTCAATTTCTTGGGAGCTCGTGAGGTAGACAGGTATGACGAAATGGATGGACAAGACTAAAGCCAAATCCCCGTGCCCGTTGCTGGCTGGGCCACTTGGATTGTTCCGGTGCCGGGAAAGCTGCCGCGATTCCCCCTAGGTAAATAAGAAAACCGAAAAGGGAAGAAATGAAAAAAATAATATTAATAAACGGAAACCACATAAAAGAGGTTAAGTTTGGCTCACAAAGCTCCCCAAAGCCATGGAATCGTCTGGCCATGGCCAGGCCAGCCCATTAGCAAGGTAGAGGCTGCTGCTGCGCGATCCATCCATCCACAGAAGGGACAGAAATGCAAGGATGTCGTAGGTGCCAGTGGCCGCTGCGGCTATCGAGAGTTTGCTGGCGCATCGGACCCCAGCTCAGCTGTCGGTTCGTGTCAGCAGCCCAGCCAGGAATTAGGATTAGACACTCCCGACAATCTGCAGACTCTGCCTATGGCTGCTGAAACCCCAAGCCTTGCGCACCCGCGAGACGACGGATAATGAACCAGTCACTTACGACTGCCTTCGATGGAACTCCGCCAAAGGGAATAAGGCGGGGGAGACCACGAAAAGGCCTGAAGAAAGAAGAAAAGAAACCAGTTGAGTGCAGGAGATCATTTGGTTGCACAAAGACCTTGGTTGCGCCAGTTGTAATGCAACCCGCCAACAAGTCGAGGTACATGCGGCACTGCTAATCAGGTCGTTTTTAGCGTCTGGAGCAGGCTCAGTCGACCGTTGATTGGCGGGGGTGGTTCCAAGATGTTCAGCCAAACCGGGGCGTCTTTTGTGGTGGGGGGTTTTGTACCCCTCAGAGCGCTTCTCCAAATTGTCGTTGTGGTTGGCTGACTGCATCGCAACATTGCAGCAGAGATTTGTGGAGAGAGCACGGCACAAACCCGTCGTGGTCAGTGCAATATGCCTACAGCAGTGATTAGCTTGTGCCTAGACAGAGGAGGGAGAGTGACTATTAGCATCGTGATGATAGCCGTGTCTCAGGAGGTGGGAATTCAGGAAGGATGCAAGGTAGACCAATACACTCTTACCAAAGTCTCGACAATAGAGCTCATTTCTTGGCTTCTCGAGCGAGAAGTTGAGAACAAGGAATTCTCAGAGGAAAGAATGAAGGAAAGCTTACCTCCTTGCTTATGTTGCATCTTGTGCTGCATGCCGGTCATCATTGTATCAGCTCGCCATCTTTCAGATGTGAGGCTAGTATCAAGAGTCCTTCGCTATACTTGAGGCTCGATACTGTATCTTGTTCGACCTTCTTTCGTTTCGTCCATCCAGCATCGAAATGGCGGCTGTGTATGTGATGTTATGACCTCTCCCTAAACCAGCTGGCGTTCTCCATGAAGCCCGATGCTGACATTGTTGGCTGTTCTTGCAATATATCCTCGTATCATCTCGCAGTCGCAGTCCCCGTGTTCGAGAATCTGGCTTCTCAGAACCAGAACCTCGTTTTTGAGCGCAGATACACAGGCATCGAGATACATTCGCTCCTGTGTGACTCGCTGCTCTTGAGCGGCGAGATCTAGCTCATGCTGTTTTGTCTTCTCGCGGCATCGCTTTGCGGCGGCTCGGTTCTTGACGCGATACGTCTTTTTCCCTTCCGGTCTTGGTGAAGAGCAAGTGTCATGGTCACTTTCCTTGTGCTCGTTGGCGGCCTCGGTGCCATTCGTGTTTGCGTCGAAAGAAGCCATATACATCGGTGAGACGTGCTCTCTCGCTACAAGACGTGTCTTCTTCATGGGTGGTTGACTCATCGATTCCGGCTGTCGACTTTTAGACACCCTCGGCGTATGGCATGTTGCCGTTGTTCCTGGGGCCGGGCTAGCCTGGAGTTGAAAATCGGGTGTGTACTGCCAAATTTGGCCTGGGATAGGAGGACTGTCAACGGGATTTGGCCATAGATGGTGTGAACTGTATGTCATGGTTTCAGGTGGCTGGAAGTCTGACTGCTGGTACGTAGGCCACGATTCGCGTTGGGTTGCCCAAGTGGCCGTCGAGAAGTCTGACGTAGTCCCTGCTGTTGAGTCGAACAACCGATAGGCTTGAATCTCGACTTCCTGGTGCACGGAGGCCATGGAAAACTCAGTCGTGTGGCAATCGCATCCAGACCACCGCTGGCACAGATGAGGCTCGTTGATAGGCGTTTGGGGCGGTTGTTGTGGTAACGTATACATTGGCACCAACTCAGGGTAGGCAGACTGAGCCATCATGTTGCCTCCCACATAGACAACAGAGTGTTCTTCTTCTTCTTCGGTTGAAAATCTGTAGCTTCGGTTTCTTACAAGAATCTTGGTGGACTCTGAAGAGGGTACGTTGTCGTGAGCCTTGACGGCGGTGCTAGCGGGATCCAGAGGAAAAACTCAGAACTCAGCTGGAAAGCAACTAGTATCTGGGTTAGGGGACATATGAGTATCTTGGCCGCAAGAAGATGCTGACAGAAGATGATCGAGTAAAAAAATAAAAAATGATTAGTTTTTGGAAACCAGGGGTGGAGGAATAGGAGGAGAAGGGGGAGGAAGAGGAACTCCTACCTACTTACTGGCTTGGGGTTGGGCGTATGGTGCAAAGTCTATGGCAGGATACGGGCAATACAGTGACTGGGGTTGTAGTGCCATGCCGATGAATGGGGGCGCGACAGGATATTTGAGCGGGCCCCCAATGAAGGAGGTGGGAGAAGGGCTCCGGCTGGGGATATGCGTGTCGGGGGTTTCTACTAGGGCTGGGACTGACAGGGGATAAAGTGAGAGAATAATAGACTTACAGCCGTTCCACCCAATGCGTGTCTTTTCAGGCCAGGCGACCTGAGTTGCCAGATGTCTTAAACAACAACAGACAGAACCGACAGACGGCGGATTACACCTACACGGGGTGGTGTACACGAAGCGAAGGTGTGCTGCTTGCTTGGAGAGATGAACCCTTTCCTCGCATGATTGTCATAATTGGCATCTTGTATATCGAAGCAGCAAAGACGAAGGGGAGGGTGGATAAGCATGAGGGCGGCAGCTGAGGGGCTGTCCACTGCAGCGGAACTCAAGGGGCCAATGCAAGGTTTTGATGGTAAGAAGACGGCAGAGTCGGAATGTGTTGGTAGTGGCCAGCAGGATGGTAAGGTAGAGTAAGACAGCCGGGAAAGAGGTCGCATTGTGAAGCTGAGACTGCAGACCAAAGTGCAGACTGAAATGAGGTTGAGATCGAAGCCGAATTTGGAGTTTTCCTGGGAGTCAAGTTGGGGAGTATCCGTGGACTGTAGGGAAATGCCAGCAATTGCAAGTGGCAGGGCTGTATGAAGTGTAGGTTTGGTACACATTGTACAATGATCAGGGGATTTTGAGGCAGGTAAGAAGGAGGAGTAGTAGCAGGACGAGGAGACCCTGGTGTTGAGTGGATGAGTGGTGGTGGTGGTGGAGGATGAGAAGGAGGAGGAAGAGGTGAGGGTGGCAAAATTGAACAGCCAGTGACTCGGACCGTGGTTGCGTACGGGCCTTGGTGCGTAGACGGCAGCAATAACGGCGCCGGCGACAGGGAGGGCGATGAATGGGATCTACAGATACTGGATGTTTAAGGTAATATTTCGTATGATCGGTATGAGAGGGCCGAAATGAAGGCAGGAAGGTAAGTGGTTTTTTCTGTTTCCTGATAGGTTGGGCAGGCGGGTTTTAGAAGAGTACGGCGAGTCGGCCAGTGATGGATGCCCAACGTGGCGGAATTCAATCCGGTGAGACCAATGTTGCTGATTGGCCGCCGGATCAAACTCCGGCATTGGAAAGGCGCTGCTGGGTGGCAAATCTTCCTTCCATTAAATTAGGTAGGTCCTAGGCGGCCTGGGCCCTCCTGCCCCAAGAAAACAAATCGGTCGTATTCCAATCAGTACCTAGGCAGGCACGCACGGCAGGTAGCTCCTCCCATATCCCTTTCCAGGTTGGCTTCCTTCGCTTCCCGGTCCCGTCCTCTCATGGTGCCTTCCATCCCAACTGCCCGGCGCTCCCCCCCCCCCCCCCCCCCCCCTCCCCACCACTCCCCCCCCCCCCCTCCGCGAGTATACCCCCCCCCCCCACCCCCTTTCTCGGGTGTCTCCCTTCCTCTCCCGGCCCCCCCCCCCCCGGGGCCCCTCCCCCCCCCCTCCCCGCGGCCCCCCCCCCCCCCCCCTCTTTTCTTATGTAGTTATGCCCCAGTTTCCACCTGATCTTCACTCTTTCAACTTGCTGTAAGGTACTACGTATAGCACTTGATGCCACCGATAAGTTGTAGACCGCACCGGCGCTTTATAATCCTGGAACGCTAAGGCATGTCATGCTTTGACTTCAGTTACCTTGCCATTTCTGGGAAGACAGTCTGGGCTCTGCTTCCCCACAGTCACAGCATGTGTCAAGCCTCACAGTCGCATATTTGCCACACTTCCTCCCACCCAACCTCAAAGTCATCATGGCGGGTCTTTCCCTCCCCATAACCAGATCTAGGCACGTAAGATGGCCTGAGCCGAGATCTACTAACCCTTGATAGTGCAAAGAACCTGGACACGACTTGCGTCGCCATCCCAAAGATGCCTTACCTTGATTGACCAAGTTCCATTGTCCTTTTTCTTCCATTGGCCGCACCTGCTAATTACCTATGGGCGGTGGATACTTGTAGAAGGATCATCTTGTTCTACCTATTCTTGGCTGCTAATGGAAGGCGTGTGAAGGTCCAGTTCGCTCCAATAGGTACCAGACCGGGAGGTGCATAACATTCGGCTCCAACGTGCGTCTGTCAGTAACGTACGTCTGCGCCTGCGTGGACCGCTTATCACGGTGTGCTCAGCGTGGCTTCTCACTTGCATTTACCCCAAGGTAGGCAGGCAGGTAGGATCCTCGAGGCGCCGTAATGAGATGCAGCCCTCACCTCACCGACGTATCCGTTCCTACCCCTCCCCTTCCATTCAGCTTTCCGTCGCACTCTACCTCACCTTGCCTTGCCTTACCGTAACGTACCTAGGCAGCCAAGGAGAAGAAAAGTCCACGGCCAATCGGTTCCAACTCCGTCCAATCAATTCTCCATCTTCATCACATGTAATCATGCCACAGTGCCTTTGCGGTTTCTGGTAATGCCCATCCATCATCGCCATCTCCATCTCTTTCCCCAGACCCCATCCCATCGCCATCGCCATCGCGGCTTGCAGTCTCCCAAGACACGCACACTTTTGCTCCCAGGAGAACCTGTCGCCAGCCACCCCTCCATGCCAACCACTTGCCCATCTTCTCTCGCTTACCTACCAGAAACGATCCTCCCCCTCTATCGGCCATTGACGCTCAGCCAATCAACGCCAATGCGACGCGCAGGCATCGAGACGTGGTGCGGCTTGCCTTGGACACTACTCGACGACCCTGGACCAAGATTCCGTCTTGATAACCCTTGTCCACAAAACACCCGGACCAGATGTTCTGTCAACTAATCCAGTAGCTAGGCCAAAATGTTACCATAGCCTCCATCTCATCCTCCATCTCCACATCTCGGCCGGCCCCTTTCCGTTTTGCCTCAAGAACCAACCCACGATGCCTCGCAGACATCCTCGTCCTCTTCATTGATGACCCTTGGCAGTCATCAGTGTTTGATCCAACTACGCCAAGATCCTATGGTCAGATAACTAATCATGTCTTGTAGGCATCTGAGACTACGAATGAACCGACCCTACGGCACCGAACAATTCAGCGCTGCACCAGACAGCCCAAACTGGAAATCATCCCCGCTATCGAAACAACGATCCAACTACAAGCCACGACGATCTCGATGCCACTTCTCCTACCCTAGGTCCCTTGCCTGCTACCCTACCCAGCATCGAAGCGCCTCACGCTTGGTTTCCATGGATAATCCCCCACCTTACACCATCGCCATCGACCTGATTGACACCAACCTCCATGCACCGCTTCCCGGGTACCACAACAATCCTTACCTGATGTGCTTTAATATGGGAGATTCGTTTTCTGGAATTGGCTCATTGCGTGCTACATCCTACACATTAGCATCTTTCCAAAGAAAATCAATAACAGCTACATTATACTCCGCATCGAGGATAAGGAGCACAATTGTTCTCTACGGCCCAAAATTTTCCTCACTTTTCATAATACCTTCAAAGCACTATGATATCTCCGAAGCAAATGCGATCCTACTCCCCGGGCTCATGCTAAAGGTCAGAGTTATGGGCATCCGACATGGTCCTAAATCTGTCATCCCCACCATGGGTTAGGTGGAGTGGCTCATGTCTAGAAAGTAACCATCGGAGTAATGCATTGTCGCGAAGACACCACTGTCACTCCACCAATCTGTATCAGGTCATCTTCTCAACGAACACATGCAAAGGCATACCATCATTTGACACTTAGCACACACCCGACTTCCGAAGCTCCACTGGCTGCAGCATCAGCCCTGGTGCTGGACGTCACACATGAGGATCATGCAACAGAGACTCGGAAATATACGCGTATACCAGAATCTTCCCATCTCACATTCTTATTGACCCCCGCTTGGCATGGTTTATCGGAGTTTCTAACGATTGAAGCAATCGGGCCCGGATAGCAAAAGGAAAAAGCAAGTCCGCAAGGCAAATTGACAACACCCCCTTTACCGTTTACGCGCCGTCATGCAGCTTTCGAGCTGAGCGAGCATTTAACAACTGCCGAAGACGAAAGCTAAACGCCACGGATGACAAAAGGCAGCATCGGTGAATTATCGACTTGTTTTAGGTCGCAAATCGCTGGATCCCAAGATGGCAGCTATGTCTCACCGTTCTGTTCCACTCGCTTCAGCACTCTGCCTCGAATTATACCTTAGCGACTGTTGGAAAAGTTTTCTAGCTCTTCAACTGCGAACTGCAACACCTACAAGCATTCTAAATACCAAGCCAGAGAGGCTCTGCTGGAAGTTACAGATAACGTCGGTTGTCGAGGGCGACACGGCCAAGTTCACGATGAATGGCACTAGAAGTACCAAGGGAACCACCTCCGCCTCTCCGCGGCCGATCAAATTGGAATGTCTACTTCTCAAGGCGACTACAGATGCCCATTGAATGTATCTACCAGGGCCTTGATATGCTACTGCATGGATGAACTGACTTCTGCTCACTTGCCGCGCGCAGAGTCGCATGCATATACAGGAAAGGACATGGCTCGAGATTCAGGAGACTCTTCGAATCCTACTTGCCACGGCGGAAGCTCCGCTCCGAGGCCAGCCGCTCACA